CAAGAACTGCCAGATATCACCGATTCTATAAATTATCCTATAAAAAACGTTCAACGGATAAAGGTACTGCTTACTAATTTTGTTTTGCTTTGGCACAGGTACAAAAATCGGAAAGGGGGCGGCATTTCTATATTTAACTCTGTTTTGTTCGTTGCATATTGAATACACGCGAATATATATAGTGTAAAGGTATATTCTTTACGTAGGAATGTGTATGTTCCACTACAAAGTAAAATAGGTAAAATGTCCTTCGATGATGTGAAGTGGGCGTTGCAAGGACTTTCTCAGTTTTTAAAATATTGGGGCGCCCTTGCCGGGCAATAGATATGTTTGCTTATTTTTTGCAGTACAGTTCCAGAACATAACTGTTCCTTAATGGTGACCACTAGGTTTGGGCCACTGTCAGTTTCGAAAAATGCGGTCAGTCAATTTGATCAGCAGTCTTAAAGAAAGCGGGCAGATAGTATGGGTTGAAAATGCCAATGTTAAGGCAGCAGCTAGGTATTTCAAAGTCAAAGTCAAAGAAGCATTTACTCTATGGGTAAAATAAATTTACACTTGAAAAGTCACATTTGAGCTACTGCTCGGTCACTATGCTGACTTCTCTGATAAGAACGAGCAAGAAACTCTAGGGATTGTTCTTTTCAAATAAACTTAAATGCTATTGAATACACTTTGAATCAAATTTGTGTGGAGTCTAGAGTCATGTTTCCGTACATCTTTGTCTAACTATAGTCTTCAATTGTGTAATATGACTTTTCAGTCAATATATTTTTAGAAACAATTTATTTTTGGAAGAGCCTCTTTGATGAACTGGTGTTGTGGAGGGTATAGCTGAGGTGAAAAAGAACAATTGTGGATACACAACAAAGTAGAGCCTAATATTATTAGAGTGGATAAAGTCACACAAAATGTTAATGAAAACATAACAGTTTACCTTGAAAATCATTGTACTGATTGAAAATTCTAGTCCTCTAATAATATGTCCGTGAAAACAAATTAAATCACTCCACTAGATTCACACAGTTTTATTCAGCTACGAGGCCAAAATTGAAGTGTCATCACTGTTTCCAAAATACCCCTTACTCATTAACATTATTTATAATAATAAAGTAACAAGTACGTCCGCACAAAATCAACACAATAACTGTATATGACATATAGGTCTTCAAAACCCATTGCTAGACTTCACAAATAGAAACAACCTAGGTTGCAAAATTTATATGATTTTTCACTGAATTTCAGGCTGCAATAAGTGACTAACACTCAGTTCAGTATGTGTTATTATTTTATTTGGTTGAAAGTATAAATAAGAAATGCTTGTTTAAAATATTTATCTTCAACGAAAGCTCGTATTCGACAGAGTATGGGTCCCCCTTAAAGGAAGGTTTTAGAATGAAAGGACATTATCATACATACATGTTGCATCATGTTCATTTGCGTCACTGGTAATGAAAGTGAGAATCTGGAGAATTTTTCAAATTCCTACAACAAAAATTTATTATTTCCATGATAAGAATCTCATATTGCGGTTTTCTGTTAATTAGAAATTACGACATATATTTTTAAAATAGATACTAAACATAACATTCTCTTCACTGACTTTCAGTATACATGCTTCGATGTTTCCAAGAGTCTGATAGCCTTTGGTGCAACAAGTGGTGGAATTTACATCTTTAATAGAAGTCCATGTGAATTTGTGCAACTTATTCCTAGCAAAGTGAGTATATTTCGCCTAAAAACGCTAAATGCTCAATAATAATAATAATAACGCCACAATCAACATAGCCCCGCACTAGGGAAACCCTGTGTCGCGGGTGCCATGGACACACACATAGACAACCACGAATTACACCCAAACTCACGAGAGAAATAAATGTAGGCCATACACATATTTCTCCCGGCCTGGGAATCGAACCCAGGACCTCTGCATGGCAGTCCGGCATGGTAATTGTTCAGCCATGGAGGCAGTCAATGTACACTAAAATGTACTAAATATAATTAGATCCTCCAGGCCCAAGAAAGTATGCTCTCAGTTTTGTATGAAAAACATATTTTTCTAGTTAAGGTCATGTTGAATGCAACATTTTCATTATATTACATAATAAGAACTGTATGAAACAAATTATGTATTGTGTGTATGGTACGATTCAAATGTATGCTACATGTAATAATTACTTTAACATGAGATAGATTCTTGTTTCCTTTTCTTTTCTACATGTCTTCCGAGCGAAGAACCATTAACTCCCATGATACAAATTTTTATTTACTTTAGGAGTTAACTGCTCTGTGCTTAAATGATCATTTTATGACTTAAACATGTTCAAGTTTGTAATTTTTTTTAATTTATAGTGTATTTGTAATGTTTAGTTAAGGGTTGTACCTCTTTTTAATGAAATAAAATATTATTATATTATTATCATATTATATTCTATAGCTCCTTTTTAAGCATGAAAAGTTACTGAATTAATTTTTTTGTAGAATTTTGAAACCTCTTCTGAAAACAAGGTACTCTATGTGCCTTTATGACATTTGTGTTGTTTTTATGACACAATGTTCAGGTAGTTTTTTACTATATGTGAAAAAGTAATAATCCAATATTTTGTTTCTTAGTCATGTTAATTACGATTTACAATACAGAACCATTACAATTACAAAAAAATATTTTTGGGGTTCAAGATGAGGCCACATTTCAAACTTAGCTAAATAATAATGCTTGTAATAGTGCTTTCAATTGGTTTTGTATAGAGGAACACCACAAGACATTATAGAAAATTAAAGAGCATGCAGTATGCATATCAAGTGACACATACATTGTATGTACATATGTACTTACGTCATAATAACTGTTAGATAAACTTTGTTTACGTATTTTCCAGGATGGTGCAATAACAAGGTTATCAATATCGACAGATGAAAAGCACATTGCCTTTGCCAATGGTAGGGGCATTATAACTATAATCAAATGTGATCAATCATTAATGGGAAGTCACACTACAGTTACTTCTAAGGAACATCAAGGGAACGAAGTAACTTCTATAGTATGGAGCAACAATAACACATTGTTTGCCAGTGACGACATTGGCCAAATATCCATATTACAATTGCAAAGTTTTATTGTAAGTTTCATATGTTTATTATTACTATTCTACCCTGCTAAGCCGAAAGGCGCTATCTCTGAGATACGCCCTTATAGTTTTTTTTATACCATTAAATAGCTATAATAATTTCGCATCTAATGGTATAATAGAAATAGCGCTATCTAACTTAAAACGTTTAAAAAACCACTAAGAAGTATTTTTCTATCTCAATTTTTCCTTAAATTACTAATCGATTTGGCGGCTTTCTTTATAATCAAAATAGCAATATCTCACAAAATAGGTATAATGGTAAAATTTATGGATAATTTAGGTATGTAATAAATCGATTAGTGAAAAATATGTATACATAAGTTTTAACATCTTCAAAAATATTTATTTTTCAATAGACACTAAGGGTCGTATTCTAGAACTCTACTCAATGCTCAAGTCAGGACTTGAGTGTTGCAGTGAGCACTGAAAATCATACTCAAGTCCCTGCTGTTAGGGCCGTAGTTCCAGTGCTTGTGTTTCCAGTGCAATCCTGACTTGAGCATTGAGTAGAGTTCTAGAATATGACCCTAAATACCCGACTATGCTGTCTTGTATCGCGGTTAGCAGTTCAATTGACTTACTGGTCCATGCTGTTACTATTTATGACAGTTGATTTAAAATTATTTCAACTCATATTTATCTATCGAATGTTATTTCTTCAATATAAATTTTTCAATCTCACTCATTTGGAGAGCAAAGCCAAACTGACTTCAAGAAAGCAGTACTTCTCACCAGGTCACTGCCTTTTGCTGTATAAAACATAAGTACGGCCCCATTATGGAGTATTGCTCGCATCTGGGCAGGAGCTCCCAAATACCAGCTTGACTCACTTTACTACATCCAGCAAAAAAAAAACACAAAAAGATATGGAGCCCCTTAGCCTATGGAGAGACGTTGGCTCTCTGTGTGTTCTACTGTCTTGTAATGGGGAGTGCTCTGGGGAACTTTTCGAACTGGTTCCACCATCTCGTTTCTACCATTGCACCTCCCGCCAAATGAGTAGAGTCCATCCTCACATCTTAGATGCCTAGCATTGTAAGACCACGCGGGCATCTCGTTCGTTCTTTCCTTGAACCTGCAAGATGTGGAATGATCTTCCTGAAGTATTTCCTTTCCGCTATGGCTTGGGGTTCTTCAAAAAGCGTGTTGAAAGGGCTCTCAAAGGCTGGCAACGCGTAGGCAACTCATCTAATGTTGCAAATGTCCATGGGCGACGATGACCACCTCCCATGAAGTGGCTCGTCTGCTCCATTGCCTCCTTCTTTACATAATAATAATAATAATAGACGTGGGTCTTGGCAAATGCATATATAATTTGCATGCATATATTATAACCTTGTTATAATATATGCATTTGCCAAATTGCAAGTCTTTATAATAAGTGACATAAAGACATAGTAAGACATAAGAGCGAGTAGAGCAACTTCCGCATTTTCGGCGCGTAAAAGCCTACGCTTTGTTTGGAGTGTAGGGTTGTTATATTATTATTTTAGTTGTGCCTAGAGGTTGTAAACATATAAGTATTCGTCAATTTTTTTCCGTGCTACTGAAATAACCTTAATTAAATACAGAAGGTACTTACATATTGATATTTTTAAACTATCGTAGCGGATTGGTATCTTGATTATGGAAATGAAATGCTGAATAATTCTGAATTTGAGGCACACTTGTTCAAACTACCACAAATACAATTACACGTCTACTAATGTAATTTTTAACCGACTTAAAAAAAAGGAGGAGGTTCTCAATACGTTTTTTTATTGCCGCGATTTTTTTTATGTTACGCGATTTGTGAACTGATTTTAATGATTCTTTTTTGTTGGAAAGAAGGTACCTCAGTAGTGGTCCCATTTAAATTTCAAGAAAATATTCCACCTCTAAGGGTGGCAAACTAGGGGATGAAACTGGTAACCGATTGTAAAGTTTGAAGTTGGTTACTTTTGTAATAATTAAACACTGCTTCAATTCTACAATTAATGGCGCATGCGTTGACCCGTGCTAAGTACCGCGAGATTATTAGATAGCGTGCACACGTACAAGTCGCTCTGCTACGTTTGTTATTTACCATATTTGTATTATTATACTATGCCATAAGTTTCCTTTTTTACTGTTAGGACTGGCTCCTGAAAAGTATCTACATCTTAAAGGAATTTCTTTTATTAGAACTTTGTATATCTTTTGGTAGGGTTTTTGTTTAATTAGCTTTGCCTGAAAAACAACTAACATAATGTATTATTACTATTTCAGGCGAAAACAATGTTCCAAAGCTCATCACAAATAATAATGAGTCTAGACTCGCGCGTGTGTCAGTTAGACGTAAAGGGTTGCATGTTACTGGTCTCCACTCTGACACGATGTTACATTTGCGACACGTCACAAGAACAATACAGACAAATAGGCCATAAACTTAGAGATGGTGAATTTGGAGCTTGCTTTGTTAATAGAGATAAATGTCTTGAAAACGGCTCCATACTTAATCAAGACTTTAAAGAAATAAAGACTTATAACATTGTTGATGACAATGAGAAATTTGCCGTTGGAAAGGATTTACAGGACACACTGATTTATTCAGCCAGGCCATCTTCAAGGTTATGGGAAGCAAATATAGATGGTACTGTGAGAAGGACACATCAATTTAAACAAGTGTTGGCTAGAAAACCTATGACAGTTCTATCTATAGATGCGTACAACAATCAAAAGATGTGCTTAGATGGTTTAGATATTGATGGTGAAGGACAAGCAATAAATTTTTCCAAAATTTGTAGCTTAAACTGTGTCATATTTTCTTACAAGAAAGATGCTTTATACTTTTTAGACATTCACGATGACGAGAATACAGTTTGGTTTGATACATATAAGGATATTATAGGTTGTAAAATATATCATGATCTTCTATATTTATGGCTAGCAAATGGGACTGTAGTGAATTTGCGATTTATGGATATTGAAAAGTTTTTAATAACGTCATACATAGATGAAAAATATTTGCTATGTACTGAATTATGTGCCTTGTACAGTGATTATTTGCTTTCGAAGAATTTATCAACCAAGTTGCATGTCTTAGCAGGACTAAGAGAGAAAGTGGAGGCAACACAAATTAAAAGCATAGAAAAGGTAATAGAAAAGTTTGAAAAATTAAAAGCCAATGACGCAACGCAAATGAAATCTGGCATCTATGTTGTAGACAATACGTACTTTGCGCAGACGTCACTAAATAATGGAAATGAGAACGCTAAGCCGAATGATGACAATGTATTTGGCACTCTGCCACCGGAAGCGTTACAAACTTTAAAAGACTTAAGTGTTTCTGTGACTGACAAACTCAGTTCGAGTAAGAAAATACTCAAAGAAAAATGGGAAGAAATGAAACAGCTGAGTGTTGAAAAACAGACTGTACAGGAATTTAATCTACCTAAAAAGATAGCTTGTGAGGAACCCATCGAACTGACAACACCAATTGAGTTTGATAATGATATTATCTATAAAGAATCTAGTCCAAAGACCATAGAAATAGACAATAATAGTTTAGAATCTGATAAAGTGTGTAAATTATTATATCAATACTTTAGATTAAGCCTAGTCGGTAAGGAAACGGATGACACGAATTTAATTTCTGTTATCGAAAGCCATGCCTGTGATATTAGCGAGGTTCATCAACTCATGTTACTTTTGGAACAATATTGCTTATCTATTGGAGCTTTGGAAGAGTCAAAGTTCGTGTCGAACAATATTTTTTTAACGTATTTGAAAATTTCTTCGAGAAAAGTCGATTTCTTGGACTCTATAATTAACGACGACGTGTTATACAAATATTTCGTGGATTCATGTATATCTGTGAATATGAAGAATCAAAAATTGTACAATTTGAGTTGTGAATGTGGCTTCCCATTACCTTTTAGTACAACGAACCAAACACCTATTTTCGCAGAACTTATCGACGAATTTATAGAGAAACAATGGTCAAGTCATACGAGGAACCAATGCTATGAAATGTGCAAAAGAATGCCGTACTTATGGAGGAAAATATTGTACTTGCGACGAAACGAAGACTTACTTAATGTTCTAAGGCTATTACTTCAAATGCTTGACGAGAGTTTGCTGCATAGTTTTCTACCACAGTTCACTTTAGACACGTGGGATCGTGCAATCCAATTGTTTGCTACATTACATGCAAACATGTGTCTTAATTGCAATAAAAAGTTTAACCACATGTCTGTGAAAGAGACATTAAGTTGGGACGATATAGGAGGTCTTATGTTAAAAACCATAGGTGGCCGAAATGCAATAAAATTGATGGAGAAACATGCAAATTTAATAGAAGCTGGGGAGTTGACGATGATGTTCTATCACTCGTGTATCCTAGCGTCGATGTATGAAAAGTACGACGTTACGATTACTTGTCGACTCACTGATGCTCTTTACAGTTGTTATAGATTTGTTGATTCAAGACTAGAGGTGAGTTAATTGTATTAACCCAAATACTTTCATTCCACACTTAGATCTTTAAGCCATGACGAATTTTCAATGCTCTCGCTGCCGTGACAGCTTTTGTCACAATGTGTTGTTATTGTACAGTTGGCGAAATATTATTTGCGTCGATTCGTCTTATCGCTTCATCTGTAGTGTACAATAGAACAAAAGAGTGAACCGTCTCGGTAACGCGCGTGACACATGTATATTGCAAACATCGACTATATAAACAGAAATAGAAACGAAATAAGGCCCATCCATCCCTGGCAACTCATCAGATAAATGGGCCTTATATCACTTTTAAATATCAACTCTCGTTTGCGCTGAAATCATAAATTAGAAAACTGAAAAAGTACAGTGCCAACAGCTGACCTGTGTGTACCTGTGTCTCCGTATATTCCAAAAATGTTCTGTATTTATTGTAATAAAGATAATATCTCTAGCAACGGGGGCTGTTCCATTCGGTGGTGTGGGAAAGACAGCAAAACACCTAATTACAAAAGAAACGGAGTCACATTTCATCGGTAATTAAATGTTAAGTAATTTTTCAATTTTCGGCCATCATAGCAAAGCTCAAATTAAATTAGTTGATTTATTTCGGGCTGGCCAATCGGAGCGCAGTTGTAACAGTAATGATTTGGCAGAATAGTTTTCAAACTAATTAAATGACATTTCATCTCTATTTCTGGTTATATCCTCGTTGAGTGCAAACTAGTTTAAGTACTTTTACACACTGTGACTTAATACTAAATTTGATAATCTTTATGCGGAAATAACTTGTTGAATAAGTAAGAAACGAGTCGGCAGTCGGTTTTTTACAAATTACCTACTGTACGATGGACCAAGATCGTTAAATCCGTGTGCGATGTGAGTAAAAGTGTTAATGGTTTTATTACCCTATTGTAATAGAAAGGATAAGCCGTTCCAAGAGATAACGTTCATCCGTGCAAATAATATTTCTTCAACTAAACCTTGTTTTGTTTTGTTTTTTGTTACTTACATAAATTTACTTACTTAATTTATTACTTACGTAAATTTCATTGAACAAATATTGCTTTTGTTTTGAGGAATCATTACGAAATTTAGAATTTGAGCCATAATTCCGAACTGGTCGTATTATATGGTCAGTTTGAAAAACAATAACAATTGGAAGTATTTATGTAAGAAAAAAAATGATATGTTACTTTTATGACTTACTCGTACAAAAAATGAATTATGACTCATGCTCATATACTTAATGACAGCCGACTTGACAGAACATAGCAGCACATAGCTCTATCATTAAATCTGCTCTCATAAACTACATATATAGGACATTGTAATGTGTAAGCGCGTTTGCACACAACATCCGATTCGTATTTATTCCGAATCCGAGACTGTACAAATCAAGAGAACTCGGACCCACTTCGGATGTCGCTTATGCACTAAATCAGGAATATACGAATATCACTTGTACACCTAGTGATAAAATGATCCCTGTGACATTTCGGACCGTCATTTCTCGGATTCGAAACTGGTGCTACTCCGACATCGTCCGGAACAATTACTGTGAAATAAGTGATACGCGACCAAATTAAAAAAAAACAATGCAGATATGAAGCTTCATTCGCATCATGCGATTTTTAATTCAACTGCCTCCGTGGGTTCTGCCACCATGCTGTATTGCCGCATAGAGGTGTTGGGTTCGATTCCCAGGCCGGGAGAAATATGTGTATGGCGTACATTTATTTCTCTCGTGAGTTTGGGTGTAATTTGTGGTTGTCTATGTGTGTGTCAATGGCAACCACAACACAGGGTTTCCCTAGTGCGGGCTAATATTATTTATTTGACAGTAATGTGAAATAATGTCGGACGGAGAACGTGAGTATAGGACCTGATACGAATAGAACGTAGCGCGCTAACGCTCTATTGGTGTGTGGAACAAATGGATATCACTTAGCTATTAGGACCATTCATATTTGTCAACTTGTCTCCTTATTTTATAACACTGGTTATAATAATAATAGTTTATTTATTTAACTGTTTACATTTTAAAACATTAGTGTCAGGAGTCTCCTATTATGCCTGTGATAGGGGACTCCGCTCTTCCATAACCATAGCTTTCCAATATATAAACTTATTTATTGTATTTAAAATATTTAAACATTACAAAACTTAGTTTGAATATTAGTTTTTAACTAAGCTAAAATAACTTTTTATATTTATGGGGTTTAATATTAATTATCTATTAAGAGAATGCAGTACCGAGCCACGTAGTGTATTTTGAGTTGTATGTGTATTATTAATATTGAATGTGTGAATTTATAGTGAGGTATGGATGGTAGGATTTACAGGTATGTGTGTGAATGTGTATGAGTGTATACTTGAGAATACTACTGTATGGATTTCAGAAGCGTCTCAGCTTCCTCATAATTAAGTAATTTTAACCACTTATATAATATGTTTTTGCATTGATAATAGTTTTTTTTAAATATATGTAATTCTTTATTAATTTTATTATATAGATAGGCTGAGCGTCTACTGTACTGCATACCAGCAAAATGTTGACTTAGTGTTAGGAACTTGTGCTACATAATCCTTCCTTCTTTTATTTTCTGTATTTGTGTCATATGGTAATGCTTTATGCATTTTAAGAACTATTTGCAATATATATTGCTTTCTGACTGACAGAAGATTGCTTAAGAGATAAATATTATATTCCTTATATATATTATATAATCCATCTTTTTGAAATACATGACTTTTGATCAAAGCTCGTTGTGTCCTCTCGACCTCTAGAAATTTTGTCTTTGACGCGCCGCCCCAAACCGGGACACATTATACCAAGACGAACTGCACCAAGGCGACGTATATATCATTAAAAAAATTTTTTCAAATATCGTTAGTCATTTTTCTTGGAACAATCTGCCTCAGCACCCGGAATAACCAAATTAGTTTTTGAACTCTCCCAGTAATCTGTTCTTTCGGTTATGTAAAAACTAAAATTCAATGTTTCAGATATGCAATCTGCTTCGAAGCTCTCTTACTGGACAAATAAGAAACACAGCGCTACCCATCGTCGTGGCAGCAAAAACAATCCATTGGGGCTTATCACCTTTGACAGAAACAATTTTACCTAGTGATGACAACGTTAGCGAACAAATTTTAATCAAAGACGCATCTATAGACGAAATCATAGACAATTTACCACAGATTACAAAAGGAGTGACTGACTGTATACTTTGTGGGTTGCCATTACAAAATGAAGTGTTAATGAAAGATGGCGGACTGTGGGTTTTTAAGTGTGGCCATACTTTTCATGGTGCTTGTTTGAGTTTAAACAAGTTAAAGTTATGTCTTTCGTGTTCTATAAAAGTTTAGCAAAGGACAAATGTAAAGCTTTTTAAATACTTCTGTGCACTAACTTTGCTTTGATTTCCGAATAGAGAATTTAGGCGCAAACGATATTTATTAATGCAATGTATGTACTGTAGAGTTTGTTTGTCATCATTCTTCAAATTAAAGAATATAAATGGGAATAACGATTTTCTTATCTATCCGGGGTGTATTTTGACGCATTGAATTGGTATACGTGACTACAGATAATCTAGAGTCAATAGTCTGTTGCAACCCAATTCGAATAAAAGGTAACCAATTTAGGTTAAAATTCTTAAGTAATCACTCAATAAATGGAATAAGTGTCATTTAAATGATAATAAACATTTTAAAGGTTTTAACTTGATGTCTTACCTCTTCTTCCAGTAATATTTGAATAACATTTTAAAGTGTTATTTGAAAAATGTTGCTCCATAAGTGAGGTTATATGTCAAATGTAGAAATATGATTTTTTAAATAATATTAAGTGACGGTACGAACAAGTCGTGCTCCTGATGGTAAGCTACACGTCTGTCCATAACAGTTGCAGTGCCACTCCCGAGTTTTAAATCGCAAAGATCTGAGGGACATTGCCACTGCGCCTGTCACCCTAAGGTATAAGTTGACAAAGTCCCACGTGACTAATTTCACCAGCACCCTTGTCCTTCAAAACCGGAACACAGCAATTCTGACATTACTGCTTGTCGGCAGAAATAGGTAAGGTGGCAGTACTACCCTGGACGAACTCTTTCATGGGGAGTTCTACGGCTACTAAAATGTTATATATAACTACTACTACTGGATGGTCTATAGTTGCAGAGTGTTGTACGAAAAAAAAACATACCGTTCATTTAATTAAAGATTAGTAAATTGAAAATTTAAGTAACAATCAAACTAGTATCGAAGTAAAAGTTTTTCGAGGAGAATGAAAAACTGTTATTTCGCAAATTTTAGATTTACTTTTGTAGATCACGTAAGAAAAACTACTAGTAGTATAATATTTACCATGGTTACATGGTATAAAAATAAAATATAATGTTGTGATTATTTGATGAGAGTTTACTGGATACTGAATGAGGATTGACTGACTGACTCTGGTTGACTGAGTGAGGTTTACATTTTGTATGAGCTACTTATACTAATTTGGGACGTGTGTTCTATGCTGATGCACAAGGCATGATTGTAACTTTGCTTGTACCAAGACGTGCCTGAATGTCGGAAGAGGGTTAGACATTCTGGCACGTCTGTGGCTGGTACAGTACTCCCCCTCAAAAGGGAAAACAAAAAAAAAAAATATTAGCACAAGAACAACTTAACGTACCAAACGATATTACAAAAACTTAATAATAAATAATATTTAACATGAAATAAACTTGTGTTATACATAGACGATTGAATAAGTTACAGATAAAATTATTTGCACTTGGATTTGACTTGAGCGACAATGGACGGTTTAATGGTGACGTTGGACGAAAAAATTTTTTGTTAGACTGGATACTTGTGACAATGTGCACAATTGACCTTCTTGGTTCGTTGGCTTTTTGTCGTTCCTGTCGATTTTTGATATCCGTGGATATCCTTAGTTTCTGCTGCTATTAAGGCGAGCATGTTTCTGCTGCTATTAAGGCG